CGATTGGGCACTTCAGCGGGTCCTTGTGTGGAAGTACAAAGTTGTAGTCAGGCTCCTGCTTCTACAGGAAGGTAAAGTGACTCGTAAATACAGTAGCACTCAGCCAATGAGATCACAGATGCTCACACCAGGCTTCACAACCTTGGTCTCATGGTAGAGTGAAAAAACACCAAAAAAGAACTGCCCGCTCCCACTTCTCCTCCCATCAGCTGTCATGTAGTCTGGAACAAAGACTTTGTATGGTTGGATGCAGGATAGTGGAAGGTTGACAAGCTCGTCACCCCAGTTCAACGTGGTGCATTGCCACATCCAACACTGATGAGCCTTGATGATAGATGGCACTGAGGAAGCCAAAGATGGGTGGTGATCTTGTGCGAGCACGACAGAGGGACTTACATTGAGTGAGGGTTGTGAAGACAGACTTCTTGACTTGCTCAAAATGTTCAGGAAATAGGTGGGAGTCCAGTATTGTGTTCTCCGTGACATCAAAGTCTTCACACCTAGAAATGAATGTTGAAAGTCAGTAGAGAGGTCAGCTAGGAGTGTGGAGAAGCTTACTCAAGGCGGAGGCGTTGTGCTTGAACCATCAGTGCTTTGTAGAAGTCCGAGATACGTGGAGTGAATGCTGGTCGTGCCTGCTCAAGAGACATGTTATCATCAACCTGGCGGCGCTGAACACGACCAAGCATTGACATTGTCTTCTTGAGGGAGCTCTTGTATTTGGTCAGCAAGAGAGCACAGCGCAGTTGATTTGAAAAGAAAACTCACCGCAGACAGAGATCCATTTGCATGATCTTGTTCACCACCGTTTCGGGTGAGCAGTTTGCGGGTGCCAGTGTACTTCAGGTACTCAATAATGTGGTGCGCATCAATGATCACATCCGGGACTTGTCCTGATGCGATTGCAGTGGTCAACCAGCGCTAGTTAGCAGAAATGTCAGAATGCAGCCACTGAAAATGATATTTGTCAAGATTTACCTTCCATATGTTGAGGACACTTTTCTCTGTATTCTGTCCACTTTTCCGGCGCGTGCTCATGATAAATTCATCGACCTTACAAAATGACCATCAGCCGACATTGCAACTTCCAGGAAAACATGCACACTGACCCATGTTCTCGCTGTGTTGATTGCATGCATGCACTGGCCTGGAAGCAATCAGTACAAGGCCAGACACACAAATCACGATGCTTACCACTCGCATGAACCAGCGGTTCATCATCATCTTGACCATCAGGGACATTTGCACCAGTATCATTGATGTCGTCTTCTATGTGGCTGCTTTCACCACCATCGAACGCATCTTGAAATGAGCGAGCCAGCTGACTTGCATCGTGTGCAGTGAGGGTGTCAATCTCGTCAAGCTTCTGGGTAGATGCAGACTCGGATGACTGGGTGGGGGCCGTTTGGCTGCCAGGTTCGGCTGGCACAGGAACAGTGCTGATAATCAAGGGGGTAGATGATGCGAGGGCTGGATTGGGAGCGCTGCCAGGGGAGTGTGTGATGAAGGACTAGAAAAAAGACAAGTCCACATGCACATACCTTGGGTGTGCTGCAAGCCGTGCAACAAGGTCGGCCTTCCTTCCTCATGTGCCCAAGTTCTGCTCGCGGCACAACTGCTGGAGTTGCTTCACCATCGATTTGGCGCTGATAAATGTCTGTCATCAGTATCAATGAGTTTCGAATGAAGGATCCACTGACCTGGTAGCGCTTTCTCCTCCTCCAGATAGGTTTTGTCCAGCAGGGTTTTGAGACTTGCTGCAAGATGGCACGGTGTAGGGATTAGCTGTGTGAGTTTGTTAGTACCAGTACATACAATGAATTCCCCCTCCCCCCCTCCTCCGAAAAAAAACAAGCTCACCTTGCTGACAGCAGGATGGCCAACTTCGCACAGGTCCGAGTGCCACTGATGGCACGCTGTGATTGGCCAGTGCAAGTAAGGCAGGGTCGATAGCATTAATATTGTTGTTGTTGCGGTCGACATCCATTGCCAGTGGATGGACCATGAAGATAAATCTTGGTGTGAAACGATTTTCGCGCCAATAACACTGGAGTAATGGGCTTGAGATGGAGACAGCGACGATGTCGACGACAATGACAAGGAGGTGGCGGGCGAGCAAACCAGAAGGGTGGGATTCCCTTCCCCAAAAGGACATTTCCGGTCGATTCCTGGGGAAACAGCCAGGTCACGTTTCGACCGTGATTTTCCCTGCCAATCACGCACCTAAAAGTGTGATTACCCCCCAAAACCTTTGCCTGGGGTTTCCAGATCCTAGGCAGGTGGAGATTGAAAGCGGAGGCAAAAAACAGGCACACTCACACACACAAATAGAACATGTTTTTTGCCTCCGACTTGAAACTCCGCATTAGTGTTGCCAATAGCTTGGCTGAAAACCGGTAGCCACCCAAGCTGAGCTAAATTTAGCTAAGCTGAGCCGAGCTGGGGTACCCTGGTTTCATAACGGTACAACCTGTTCGCTGACTGCTGGTTTTGGCTCAATTTTGGCTGGCACTGTGGCTCAAACCCAGAATGGACGACCTTGTCGTCGTTTGCGACTGACAACAAGAACAACGTGCTATTTCGTTATCTACACTTCCTGCTTTGCTATTATGTATCTTACATGTATCCATCCACCACATAATCTTATAATGACCTTGGAGCAGTATCTGGCACCCATGTGCATCTTGGTTCTCGTGCCATGGTTTTTGCAAGCTTCAAGCCCACCGCTCCGCTGCGCCTGAAGATCGATATCAATGTGAAAAAAGAAATCCTCTATAGTCACACTCACACAATTCCCATTTACAAGCCGAGCTGCACAGTGGTAATCAGTTCTATTGACTCGTTTTAGTGCAGCCATGATACACGAGCTGCGCAGCGGCAATCAGTTCTATTGACTTGTTCTAGTGCAGCCATGATGCATGAGTTGATAATGAGGTGAGTTTTTGTCATTTCAATGCTCGGCACATAATTAACATTGGTCTTGTGACTGGCAGGTGTTTCCAACTTTATGTGTCTACTAGATGCAATTGATGACATCTGGTGGGACAAAAACTTGAACAGCGAGAAACCTGAGCTGACCTTCATAGTTGTGGGTAAACAGTAAGTCTACAATCTTTCTATCTATCAACATTTGTTGCTCATTCACTGTTTCCCCAAGACACCATGTCCGATTCTTCCTGAAGAACAAGTATGTCGCTTGGCTATTACCTCCATTTGTACTTGATTTACAAGTGCCAAGTCTCATTGTTACATAGGCAAGGCCACGAGTTTGTGTATTGTAAGTCCGTCCGCAATATAAATACCACTCATGACTGACAATTGTTCTTCAGCTTGTCCTCCAGCTCATTCTTCGGTGCTGTTGACCCTACCCAGCTCAACATGCCTCCGCTGACGACATTCTGCCAAAGCTCATGCCACTGCAAATACAATGATTGCCCTTCCAAATGGTGCTTTGCAAACTATGTTTGCACTTGAAGGGGAAGGTTGTTATACTTCCTTCGTTTTTTTGATAGTGAAGTACTAATCCTGCAGTAGATTTTTCTCGCCAGCTGGATGCTGTCTCACCTGATACACCAACACCAGGTCGTTCATCTCCTGTCCCTCAGTTCCCAGTTGAGAACCAACCATCAGAACTCCGTGGCACGAATATTGTTGAACCAGTCCTGCCAACTGTTACATTTGCAGTGCCGCCTCATATTTCTTTTGCAATACCACCACAAACTGTGGCCCAAGACTCAGAGGTGCTGGCAGGTGCACAATGGACTCCTGGAAGACTGCCTCGTGTTGTAGGCACTCCACGCACACCACGTGCTGGTCCTCATAGTCGTAACCGCGGTGTTGGTCAGAAAGGTCATCAGCATGCACGCAATGTCTGGGCATTCTTCGAAAAGTGTGATGATAAACATTGTTGCATATTTTGCCAGTAAGCTTTTGAGTTTTGTGTGACTGTTGTCTTATTTAGTTTGCAATTAGCCATCAGGTGGCTCTCAATCAACGAAAATCACCAGCAAAGTATAGTTCCAACACAGGCACTGGAGTCCTATGAAAGCATCTTTATGACATGCACGGGGATGCGTGGATTGCAGCTTGTGACACATTTCAGATTACTATTGACACTAAAGGGGCTCAAGCAGTGGTCATGCGATATCATGCTCGTCAGGCAGAAGCTAGAAGTTCAACAGTAGGAAGCTCTGATGCTGCTCGCTCATTTTCACATGAAGCATTTGTTGATGCACTCATTGAACTCTTTGTCGCTGAGGACCTGGTCAGTTTGTAGGTGAACTTTTATGATTACGCTTACATCTGTCAATAGTCTTTCAATCTTATTGAGAGCCCACACTTACGAGCTCTAATCAAGATGCTACGTGAAGAGCTTTCTGATTCTGACATTCCCCACCGGACAACATTGCGAAATCGACTCTCAGAAGTCTTCACAGAGTATCTGGACACGCTACGAGATGAAATGAAGGTACTGATTTATCTACTAGTAGACTTGAATGACGAGTCTCATAACATATCATTGCAGGTTTCATCGGGCAAAATCTCATGTACCACTGATATATGGTCTGACATCAATCTGAGGCCATTCCTGGCTGTGACTGCATATTGGATCCAATGTGTCGTCGAGTCCTCACCATCAGGTCCCAAAAGTGAACTTAAACTTCGAGTCGACCTCATTGGATTCCATCAAATTCCAGGTCGTCATGATGGCGAGCATCTTGCACAGACATTCTTGCATATATTGAAACAGATTGAGATTGCTGAGAAGGTAGGCTAACTTGTATATCCACCTTCTTCATTCACAATTGACACTTCGATTTAGCTTGGTTGGGTGACTGTCGATAATGCCACGAACAATGACACATTCCTTCATGTACTAGAAAATGAGCTTCGTCTCCTGGGTATTAACTTCAACAAGAACTTGCATCATATCCGGTATGCTGCATTCAAAATGTGCACTCATCTAAGGTGCTCACTTGTCTAGGTGTTTTCCCCATATCATCAACCTGACATGCAAGGCAGTCCTACAAGCAATAACAAACATGGATCATGCGCAGAATGATGCCATTGAATATGTACCAAATATGCCACCATCGAGAGACTTTATGAGTGCTATTGAGCGTGATCCAATTGCAACTGTCCGCACAATTGTTCATGTTGTGAGTCACCAATGTAACTCACCTGTTTTTCATATCTGATGTTATACACTAGACGAGAGCATCAGGACTTTGACGACAATGCTTTTCCGAAATTGTCAAAGTCACAAAGCAGACAGATCTTCAACTGCTATGTGACATTGACATTCGTTGGTCATCAACATTATTGATGATCGAGTGTGCAATCTTATTACATGCAGTATGTTGTCCCTGCATTGGACATTTCTGAGCTAAGGTCGAATTTTCAGGCCATTGATAGGTTTCTTGACAGCCATGACTTCCCAGAGCTCAAGAAATATAAGCTCAATGATGTGGAATGGCAGGCCCTCGATGTTTTCAAGGATATTCTCAGTGTATGTCGCAGTTTTAAGCCTTGTGATGTATTTGTCATTGATTGTGTCACTGCTACATACTCAGGTTCCACATGCTTTCCAGCAGAAGCTTTCATCCGAGAAGACACCAACATTGTGTGACAGCATTCCGTCATTTGAAGCCATGAGTCGAGTGTGGCAACAACAAGCTGACAAATATCCTGACCGTGCAGCTGTCATTCAGCCTGGACTTGATAAGCTCGAAGCTTATCGTGCTCGTATATCTTGTGTACCAGCTTATGTTTTGGCAATGGGTGAGTCCTTGAAAATATTCAGATGCGAAGTTTAGCTCAAGTCCTGCAGTGATAAATCCTGCCATGAAGTTGAACTGGTTCTTGGCCAATGCACCACACCAAATGCAGCGGGCGAAGAATCTTGTACTCACCGAGGTATATATATAAATTTGGTTTAAGATTCAGTGCCCTTACTGATTGTCTGCTTGTATGTATTAGCTTCAAACTTACTCAACAACGTCAGAACATGATGTTATGGCTGTGGAACCCACTTCTGATGTATCTTGGGCTGATAATATCCTTGGTATGTCAATGTATCATTGACCAGCAACACAATGACGCAGTGTAGAAGCTGAGGTTGATGCATACTTGCTCGACTCTGAAATTGGTACAAGTAGCTTGAGTTACTGGCAGGTATGTTTAAGTTTTGTCTTTCTTTGTGTCGTGATTTGATTCCATGAATCAGGAGAATCAGTCTCGCTACCCAACACTATTTTCTCTTGCCATGGATGTCCTTCCGATTCAGGGTTCAGCTGTACCATGTGAACGGGTGTTTTCTTCTGCGAAGGAGACAATTACAATGTGTCGCAACCAAATGAGTCATCAAATGATGGAAGCACTGCAAATGTTGAAGTTTTCATTCAGACATGGCTATGAACTCAATTTCACAGCATGGATGGACAAGAAAGCAGAGATTCGGGAGATTGATCAGTTGATGGATGAGGAACTTCTTGTTCCAATTGATATTTCAGCTTTTATTGACACTCTGCTTGTCGAGGATCACTTTAATCATGTCAAATAGTGTTTTACTATACAAATTTCCTTTTCTGATGACGAGCTTCGAGTTGAACCATGAGCCACACCAAACTCGAGCCAAACCAATCAAAAACTGCTTCAAGCCGTGTTCTTATAAACTACTTAGCTTACAAACTGATCAGAACTGAGCTGAGCTGAGCTGAGCCGAGCTGTTGGCTACACTACTCCACATATGTGGCTGTGCTACATTCTCATGTGCCCTAGAATGTTGGGAACGAGACTACATATTAAGTAGATTAACCCAAATTAACATGACATTTTGGACCTCTCGGTAAATTAGCGCTAATCAGCATTGCGGTGTCTCAGGCTGGTGACCACACATTTCAATAAACAAGTATAAAATAGGTGCACACATCTGATATCTGAGATGCGCAAGGTATGTTGTTTTGAGAAGTCCCTGGATTGTTCCATCTAAAACATAAGAGGTGCGGTCCAAATCCAAATCCTACAGCTTCAACTCGAACATACATATATAATAACAAGCGGTCACCCCCAGTCAGATCCTACTACAGGCATATACAGACACATACAGAGCCTGTATGGACCTGTATTTTTCAACCAATCTCTGTGTAGACCTGTATTGAATTAGGCTCAATATAGCAAGGCTGTATCAACCTGTATAGGCTTGGATCAATTGCAATGGTTGTAGTGATACAGGGTGATTGGTTACATGGCAGAACTAATGAGCATGAGGAGAACAAGTATAACGGGACTCTGTACATAGACTTTGACGTTGAATTTCATGGCAGGCATGTACAAACATGGCACTAGACACGATTTGCATGAAGTAATGCTGTCATTAATGCTCTTCATTTGGTCTGTTTGGACGAGAATAGTATCCATTGTTGTGAGGACGGAGTGCCAGTGCATGACATCCCATGCTAAAATTTCAAATAGAGTCCCCTGTATGAATGACATTCACACATACTTCAATAGTTCTTCCTACTACTATCTTCATTCATCCTCTTGTCATGAGAATCTGATACACGTTGAAGCTTAAAAGCTCGACAGTAGCTGTCTCTGTCAAGCATCCATTGGCGGGTGCAGGTGCCTACTAGGCTAGTCCAGTGAACTCGTGAACATAGAACTGCGAGGTGCACTGTAGAAACAACAATACAGTGAGGCGCGAACGAGGCTCCAGACTGTATCTATAATAGTTGTAAGGTCGTGCATTGCCTAGTCTGCTATACTTGAGACAACAAGTGCATTCGACCCTAAAGGGGAAGCGAGTGAGCAAGGATCTAGAGGTATGCACTGAAGCGAAGCATGAGAAAGTGCAGGTGTGCGCAAGGCGCGGGAATGCCCGTGCGCGTATGCGGAAATGATAGAGAGTAAGAGTGAGTTTGCTTAAGTGATGATTAGATGCAAGATAAGAGATGAGAGATGCAACATGTAGACAAATAGATTTCTACTATGTTCTGCTAGGTAAATAGTGGGTAGTTCCCCAGTCCAAAAGTGAAGTCAAGTAAGGTAAGGTGAAAAAGTTCTCCGAAGTGGTATGTACTGCTGGCACTTATATATGGCGCCTAAGCACTACCAAGTAAGGTATGTAAAGATATATATCATGATAAAAATAAAGGTGGAATGATATGCAAATAAGGGAAACAGAAATATATGCACTAGAGAGCTTGGTGGACAGTGGATGGATGCTTCTGGATGGCTGGCGCTATAGGGTGCTCAAGCGCGTATACATCGTGAAGCGCGGGAATGGTGCGCGCATGGCGCGCGTTGCGCGGGAAAGCTGCGCCTCATATAGGGATAGCTGTGGGTAGCGCACAGAGTGACACTACAAGTTTGTGCTATGCACTCCTTGGTGGAAACTGCCATGTCACGCCATGAGAGGCATGAGTCTCTACATCGACATCATTACCTGAGTCCAATATTGCTCCTGGAGCACTGTGGTAGCGAGATAGATCCAGATAAGTTGTACCAAGACGACAAGCAAGAGTGCGCATCGCTTATCTTGCACTTTAATCGTGCAGGGTGGTTACATGGGTCATTAGCAGTACAGAACATCATGTGGCAGCAGGGCAAGCCAACAGAATGGCCAATCGAGCGTCTGCACTCTGTCAAGAGCTTCCGCCTCATAGACATTGGTAGATTGGTGAAAGTCAATAACAGGACTGAATTGATGGCGGAGGATGAAATAGCTTTGCGGTTATTCTACTTGCTGCATCACGCACATAAGAAAAAACAAACTGAAAAGAAATAGCTGCTTACAATATTCTTGTCCATTCACTGCTTTGTAACTGCCATATCTGTATGAATTAAATGTTGTTGCTTGTAGAATTTTTGACATGCATTTGTTGATCACAACTAGACCGGCCAGAGTCGGAAGAGAAAGATTCTGACAGAAAATAATCAATGAGGAATTTGTGTTAAGGTCGTACTCTCGTAGGGTCAAATCCGAAGGACTTCGGCCTCAGCTCGTATGCTGTGCCCCTTTCCCAAGTACTGTCCCTTATTTCAAAGTACTAACGATAACACGTCCGAATGTCCGGACGGGTCTCATAGTATATCCGGATGTCTTCCGGATATCGGAAACGCGTATAAGGCTAATCTGGACATATCCGAACTAGAAACTAACAGAGTAAAGACTACCCGAAGGTAGAGCCGAGGATATAGACTATCTGAATCTATCCGAAGTCTCGGAGGGTGACAAGAGTAAGAAGGACTCAAGTCCAGAGGACAGAAAGAGGACAAACTAAGATGATATTCGAACTGAGGTACTACAGGACATATACATGAGTTTATATACTATGAGGATAACAGAAGTATCAGTAAGCAAAGGTCCGAGGCTATGTACGAAGCATGTGCAAAGGTTATCAAACGCGAGTCGGAAATGAGACATAGGTTAACGGATCAGTAAGCATACCGGTAATAAGTATAACCAAAACACCGGGAAGAGGAAATACCGAATAGGCTGTGTTTAACGTTATATGAACAGGAAATGAATTAGAAAGCTTATTGTAAATCGGATCGGAAGCGGATCTATACATCGGACCGGATCGGATCTCAGGGTCTGAAGTCCGGAAGAGAAGCGTGAATATATGGGATATGACAATTTGGCTAAGCAATGCTGCTGGGACATCCTTTCAACAGCCTCTGTTGACAAATTAATAATGTGAGCCATCGTGTAGTCCATGTGCCTGCTAGGTCAGGTGGAGAATAGGTTATGACCTGCAAGTGTTCTGAAATACCCTGGATGCTCATTCCAAAGTTCTTAGCTCACTCCGAGTTAACATCACATGCAAGTCTTCTCATCGGACTGATTGGTATATCATGTAGTGTGTCATGTATGGTGTAAGTAGGGATCGAGCATACGATGGAGGAGTACGCCACAGGTGAAATTCTACATTGACTGAGTCAGGAAAGAATCTGTCCAGTCAGCGCTAGGATCTGTGTAAACACTACATATGTTAGAGTATCGTATTCAATACAAGTATATATAAGATAATTAGTTGATTATTAGCATATCTACATAGGGACAATAATTGTGAGTTCTACATACAATAAGTACCCATGACCGCTGGTGCGAGGAAGACCAGCTTTCTCTTCTAAACAGGAACCCCTGCATCAGAATTCAATACTGCCATCAGGAAATCCCTCCTGGGTAGAAATGTTATAAAATGTGATAGTTTTTGATAAATTCCTCAAATTATGGGCTTTAGGAAAATTAGAAGAATTATGCAGGCTAGACTGACTTTTTACCTCCCTCTCCGTGAATTATAATTATCAAAAATTTGATGATATTTCACGCGAAAATGTTGTGAATTGCAGGAAGTATTTGTTGAATTCTGGTTCGCAAATCACGCACATTGGACAATGTTACGAGAAAAAACAACTTATATTTGATTAAATGATGCATATGAAAATCACCACAACCGTGGTACACAAAAAGGAGCTGGACAACGAATCTGCAATATTAATGGGTATGGAGAGAACGAGCAAACAATGAATCTGCAATATCTATGGGTATGGAGAGTGGACCAAGGAACAATGAATCTGCGATATGTATCAGCACCATACGACCCACTAATCTTCAGCCATCCCATCAAGGTCGAGTAGTGTGAGTGTTCACTGGCCAGATGATCGTTGCCCTTGCATTTCAAGGCCCTTCCAGTAGTGTCAGTATCTCAGTCGAAACAACACCATGTACACTAGCGAAATGTACTGTACAGCTTCGTAAATATCAGCCATCATGCAGTGAAATTTTGCAGGAGTATCCTTCTTCAACTTCTCAAGGAACTTGACATGGAAAACATAAGTTTCGCTGAATTGATTACCTGTAAAGTTGAATTTCCCCGGGGAACCCAGTGTCTTCCAGAAAAGCACTGTGTAGACCTTGAGAATGAGTTAGTGCAGCATGAAGACCTAGCAAGAAGAACATTACTGCTGTCGCCACGAGTGCCAACAAAGGAATTGGTATTTCGGGCCGATTATCCTTGTTACTCGCTATTTCACCAAAGCACCCCGCATACAGTGGCTCAAAAAAGTGTCCCAATGTTTGTAGCTTTTCATGTAATTGCTATATCATGTGTCGAGACGTGGGAATATGACTAAGCTTTAGGGTGATGTCGGAAAGGTCTGCATCTCAGCTTCATTTCGGTTCCCTATACTGTGGGAAACTAATGACATTATGTGAAGATATGAGTATTTTAATTTGATGACTCATTGGGACACTTTTTTGACTTTGAGTTTTACTAATGTAATCTCTATAATTCTAGTACTGTGTGTGACCTCCTTCTGCTCCAATCACTTCTGCCACTTTTCTAAACATATTCTCTATCAATTTTGGGTATTCCTCTTTGGTGATTCCATCATACTCTGCTGTAACACTGTCTCATAGTTGGAATAGCCCCTACAGTGAATCTTGATATGCTACAAGTAATTTCTTGAGTGATTCTCAGGGGTATTCAATATGGTTGATGTCTTGGGTCTATGTTGAACATGATAGAATAGTAATATCATGGTTTGCAAGCTATTGGTGGCTTATTTAGAGGTATACTTAGGGTCATTGTCTTATCACAAAACAGTATCTTCTTCATTAACTCATAACTTCTGCATGCTTCTTAGCAGACACTCCTGTCAAATGAGTATTTACTACTCTGTATTCATCCTCCCCTTTGCTTCATAGAAGATTCCCACTCCATTTTATCTCATATAGTCCTATACCATCAAGTTTTGTCTTGAAACTTAAGGTGTTTATTTAACTTTTCTTTATCTTAATGATTGTCTTATCTATTTTAATATAAATTCCTTGCCATATGATTTCATCCTATTGATTTTAACCTTATCTAACTAGATAAACCTCTTTCAGCTATTAGCAGTCTGATATTTGTACTTGAAAGTAGCATCTTGTCTTTTATTTCTATAGGTTGGAGACAGAGGAATCTGTTTTTCTTGATTATAGCTTTAAGATGGGCTGTCTTGAGAGTCTGTCTGACTATTTGAGTAGAGATAGTCATAGGAATGATGGAAATAATCAATTTAATCACTTTATTAGCATCAGCAGTCTTTCCAATTAGAATATAGTGATTAAGAGATCTTAAGTCTTATAGAGCAACCTTCTAGATTGGCTACCAAATAACTTAAAGACCATAATATTACTATTCTATCATGTTCAACATAGACCCAAGACATCAACCATATTGAATACCCCTGAGAATCACTCAAGAAATTACTTGTAGCATATCAAGATTCACTATAGGGGCTATTCCAACTATGAGACAGTGTTATAGCAGAGTATGATGGAATCACCAAAGAGGAATACCCAAAATTGATAGAGAATATGTTTAGAAGAGTGGCAGAAGTGATTGGAGCAGAAGGAGGTCACACACAGTACTAGAATTATAGAGATTACATTAGTAAAACTCAAAGTCAAAAAAGTGTCCCAATGAGTCATCAAATTAAAATACTCATATCTTCACATAATGTCATTAGTTTCCCACAGTATAGGGAACCGAAATGAAGCTGAGATGCAGACCTTTCCGACATCACCCTAAAGCTTAGTCATATTCCCACGTCTCGACACATGATATAGCAATTGCATGAAAAGCTACAAACATTGGGACACTTTTTTGAGCCACTGTACTTGACGCTGATGGACTTCGCACCATCGAAGATTGCGTCATAAAGTAGGAAAATGAGTAGGTCACCCTGGTAGGGTTTTTTTCTGATGGGCGAAGCATCATCATTGGTCTGTGGAAGAGGGATGTTGGTTAGAATGAAGCGAAGGAGTGGTGGTGATATGTAGAAGGGAATATGATGAAGAAACCTGCTCCTGAGTGTGAAGTAAAGGAGCAGCAGTGGAACGGACAAGGATGGGACTCACATCGAACTTCAAGGCATACACATATGCATGCTGCTCCATAAGCTTCCTGGCCTTGACTAAGTTCTGGCCAAGACGAAAGTAGCCATCGATATTGGCACATGCAGTAATTTTCAAGTCACGGCACAATAACAGAATGTGTGGCTCAACCTCAAGTAATGAAAAATCGTTGAAACAAACAGAATATTTGAGACATGCAAAAGACTTACTAAGCTACTGAGGTGAGCGGCATACTGCGCATCTGTCTGAAGACATTGTTTGATGGCAGGTACATCAAGATTCTGGGCCACAGTTAGTAAAGAATTGAGTGAGATCTGGTTTTTGTCGACAAGTTCTGGGTAAGCATTGACAAAGATGATGTGACACGGTGTCAGAAATCGCATTCCGGACAACTCACTGAGTCTGGTAGTTCTGGTCAAGTAATTTGATGTTCCCCTTCTCCATTCGAATGAGAGCAGTGATTGCCTGAGCTGAATGAGTTGCAGAGGTCAGTTTTTTGGGACCATCAAATTCACTGGAGTAAGGTTCTGAGGGTTCGCTGCCTGCAGTAGTAGTTTCCTTGGACTCTGAAACAGCATTGTCGACATCACGCCAGGTAGGAATCTAGTAGATTGTGTCAAGTCTAGACAGTGCATTCAAATTTTGAATAAGAACAGACTCACCTCCATGGAATGTTTTTGATCCTGGGCAGACTGTGATTTCCCATGCGTTTGAACAACCCGCTTGGGCTTCATGTTGTCAGTGACTAGCAAAGGGGTCTTGTGTCATTGTGACAGCGTGAGTCACTGCTCAAGTAAACTATTATCACTTACCTCATCAGCAAGCACCATGGCGGTAGTCTCTGGTTTGTCGTGCTCACTCTCCTCATCCATATCACCATCATTTGCCATGACAGAACGGTCCACCTGATCACCATCGGAGTCGAGCTCATCAGTATCAACTAATTCGAAGACATCTTGCAATACGGAGACATCTTGCATGGCATATGTGCGACAGAGTTTGTTAGGTCGATACAAGCCTGTGCACCTATGCCATGAGTAAGACTTCCTTTTGCAATACTTAGCTTATAACTAACCTTGAGGCTTTGGTTTTATAGGTTCCAAGTCCGCCTCACTGCCACTAGACTCCAAGTGACCCCCATCCTCCTCCTCATCCTCCGAGTTGGTCTCCAATGAGCACTGACGTTCTGTCATTCAAGTCAGTACTAATTTCTATGTTTCATACTATAGATTCATTGATGTACTCAGTTTCGCAGGTCGTGGTGCAGCAGGTCGCAGTGCATTTGCTTTTGTGCCCTCTGATCAAAGGTGAGTACTATTTGGTTAACATAGGCATTGAAAAATTCACTGTTGGTACTCAGGCTGCTGATCTTCTTCACTGCCAGGTGTTCCAGACCAGGGGGTGCTAGAGGCGCTTGACAAGCTTTCTTTGTTGACTTAGGCAGCCAAACTGAACTCGCTTGTAGGTGAAATTTATCTCATTCAAATTGAAGACGCTTGCTTACCAGCATTTTCTATAGCTTTTTTCTTTGCATTTCGCAGCTCGCAGGAATTGACAGGTGCGGACATGGTATACTTTGATTGAAAGGACAGGAAGCTAACAAATGATGTTAGAGAGAATGGTGACACAAAAGAGTGGGGAGGGAAACAAAAAGTTTGAGGGTGCTGCTAATTTTTATTACATTCCAGGGGGCATTGGAGGCAGTCCAACTTAGTAATGGGTCCACATGGGGCCCTTAACTTTGGTGAGTATTTTGCCGAGTGAAGCCGTGGGTTCAATTTAACATTTACCTCAGACCAGGCAGTTCGTGCTTCAAGTTCGTCACTCCCATTCCCTCCACGAGAATTCAGGAGGAAGTTTGCACTTTTTGGCGCCTAGGAACCACCTGCCATGTTTTCATCTGTCATTATGGAACCACCTGCCACGAGAATGAAGTTTGGGAGGAAGTTTTTGCTTTCCAGCGCTAGGAACCACCTGCCATTGCCACCCACTCCCATTCCCTCCACTTTCACCACTGGAAAATTTCCAGTGTTAGGAACCAATTCACCTTAGTTTCCAGCTTTAGGAACCATTCCCTTGTTTCCAGCATTAGGAACCAATTCGCCTTAGTTTCCTGCGTTAGGAACCCCTTTCGCCACCCACTCCCATTCCCTCCACTTTCACCACTGGAAAGTTTCCAGCATTAGCAACCAATTCGCCTTTCGCCACTGGACTCAAGTTTCCAGCATTAGCAACCAATTTGCCTCTCGCCACTGGAAAATTTCCAGTGTTAGGAACCATCATGTCCACACGATGCCCTGCTTGTTTCCATGATAATCTTACGGTTACAGGTTTCAGTCAGCATCTTGCAAAGAGCCGCAACCCACATTGTCAAGCACTGTACTGTCAGTCGCACTCTCAAATACATGCCAACGATCCTTACTATGAACCTGATACTGACGGGGTATATGGTCAGGATGACTTGGAGTTTGCACAGGCTGATGATCTGGAGTTTGTGTGGGAGCAAATTAGTGGTCATGACGATGCAGATGATGATGCGTCAGACGATGGGTTGAATGCTGAACCTGAATGGGAGCCTCCGGTTGAAGCAGTTGAAGAGGACAATGGCAGTAGCATGGACGACCCCAGTCAAGACTTGGCTGAAGAAGACCTGGCCAAAGATTGATACAATACTCACCAAGAAATTCAAGCACGTGCACAAGGGCTGCGTGGCTGCGTGGTCATGCCTTACCCAGATCCGCGTGCTGGTGAACAAATAGCTAATCAAGCCAACCATCATGCTGCAAATGTGGAATATGGGGCTCATTTTGCCAATACGGAGCAGGAGAATTTGTACCATCCTTTCACTTGTAAGATGGATTGGGAGGTCGCCAGATGGGCGAAACTTCACGGAGTCAGTTCGACAGCTTTTTCAGACTTGCTTGCAATCGAGGGGGTAAGGTTATTATTTATTTTATGAAGTCTTAATTAATAGTGAATATCACAGGTCAGTGAATGCTTGTCACTCTCCTTCAAGAATGCGAAAGAGTTGAACGCACTTGTTGACCATGAGCTTCTGAGTAGCCATCCAAAGTTCAAGCGAGAGCAGATCGTCGTCGCTGGTGAAGCCTTTGATGTATATTATCACGATGTGATTGAATGTGTCAGGTCACTGTACGGTGATCCTGATTTCGCAAAATATCTTGCATTTGCCCCCGAGTGGCATTATTCTGACAAGGATAAAACAGTTCGTCTTTTTCATGATATGCATACAGGAAAATGGTGGTGGGATACGCAGGTATAGAGGGCTGATTATGACTATGCGATATCTACTTACAATACTTTAGAAAAAACTGGATCAGCACAGTCCAGGTGGCACCATCATTCCCATCATTATCTCGTCTGACAAAACGCAAGTGACCTTGTTCCGCAACAAGTCTGTCTATCCCGTCTATCTCACCATTGGCAACATCCCTAAAGAAATCCGATGCAAACCATCACGTGGTGCACATATACTCCTGGCATATTTGCCATGTACACAACTTGAACACATCACCAACAAAGCATCGTGTCGCTGAACTCTGGCAAACCTATATCATGCATGTTTGAGCCGTGTTCTCGCTCCACTAAAGTCAGTTGGTCTTGATGGACTTCATATGGCTAGTGGGGATGGTGCTCTCCGCCGTTGCCATCTATTATTTGCTAGCTTTGTTGGTGACTACCCAGAACAGCTCCTCACTACATCAGGGAAAGCCTCTGCCAGGAAATTCACCGAAATATTCAAACTCGAGCTTAAAACGGTTGAATTCCAGGAAATGTAGTATTTTCACAGAAATCATTGTATTTCAGATGAATGTAGTCGATTCTAGTACTAGTCAGATAATAGTTAAATAAGCATGCCTGTCGCTGAACGAGTTTACGAAGAAGGTAGAACAAAGCTCCAGAACGGTACTACTGGCCCATTCACGAGGTGCTACAGGGCCAAATTTTGGAATAAGATGTACACTCCTGCGAATATCAGAAATGTCAATGATGCTTGCCAGACGCTCTCCATTACGAATGAGGCGGGAAATTTTATACAAACCATGGTTTGCTTCAGGCTGCCCGAATGGTGTGAACCATTCCACATATGCAAAGTGGGTAGGCAAAATTCCAGGTGTGCGAAATAAGGCAGCTGTAGCCTGGCTTGTCAGCGTGAAGATGATGCGCACTTGTGCAACACGATACCCTGATATTGATGATCAAATATTAGCATGATGTTACAAGGGATTAGTACAAAAAACACGCACCATCAACACCTGTCGTCCCACCACCATCTTCATTAACTAAAACTGTGTCGAAGCGCGCAGGAACTATCTGCCTTCTTTTGTCCTTTCGTGGTGGCTGACAGTGCACTGAATCCACGGTAATGGTTGAATCACGATGTCCATGAGCATTGATTGCGTGGAACTTGACCCTTGGAATGCGGCAACAGTCTGGAAGGGAAGGATGACATGGGAAGCTTCTTGTTCAAGTTGCGCTGGAGAAAGGCCAGGTTGATTTGTGCGAACGACATAACGAGCTAATGCTTCGGTGAAAAAAGTGGCACCATAGTCGCGAACTACACTATCCAATGGAACACGTCTAATAGTTGGGTGTTTCGTCATCTTGATCGAGCGACGATAGTCCATGTCGGGCGGTAACCTGTCTTGTGGAGGAGGATCACCAGCAAGGCGCCATTGGACGAAATTATTGTGCCATAACATCTTCTTGCGTCTTTCAAGCCAGAGTGTCATTTGTGTATATTCGTCTTTATGGTTAGTAGCTCTGTAAGCATCCTTTGCGAGATCAAATCTTCTTCATCATAGTTGCCAAAGTAGTCCCCTGTAAATTCAGTTAATGCTGGTGGTTCAAAGTCGCTGTGATCGTCATCTGTATCCATATAAAAACTAGAATGATGTTGAAATAGAGCTGCACATGGCGGATTTTTCGTAGTGGCAAGATGATGAGAATGGCCAGCGAGCTTGAAGTTCTTAGCGCAGCCTGGGCAAGTGATCATTCTGGTGGTAAAAAAACAAGGGCCGTAACAAAGACAACCTACAGCCACAAACAAAGCTTCAAGCAAAGTTCAGCGGACTACGAACTTTGTCAACCCTGCCCCAGCGCAACCCTGCAACCCTGCCCATGCAAAGTTCAGCGGACTATGAACTTTTTTCTTTAACACTGCCCACCAACTTGACCGCTACATTCTTTTTACCCTCAGCGTCCTGTATCATTCAATTTCGTAGCAGTACACTCTTTGAAAAGAGAAAACACTCATTCACCTTTTAAAATGCCTCCCCGTCCATCTGAGATAGCTGCTCAGAAGCGGAATGCTAAAAAGAAAGAGAAAGTAGCGGCAAGACAAGTGTCTTCCGGCGCTGAGGTCGTAACCCCAGACATAGCTGATGACATCGCAGATAGCAGTGAGTACAGAGGCTGTCATAATCAGACCCAAAAAAACTCACATTCTCGCAAAGAGCTGCAATGGTCTTCAAAGAAAAAAGCACTGGAGCGCAAAGGTGAGCGCCTAAACCCATATTGTGCAAAAAAAATTATGCTACATACCTATGTCAGTCTGGAATGATACAACCAGCAATAATCGCAAGCGTGCACCAACGGTGACTGAGCTTCTGTCTGCGCCTGCAACAAAGTCAGTAAGGAAGACACTGAAAGCAGTCGAAAAGACACAGAAAGCAGTTGAAGGTGGTGGTCGTGAGAGAAGCAGTATGTGTGGCCTCTTTAAAACTGAGTCGAAGTGATACTCAACTTAAAATAGGTGTAGCTTCCACTCTCACGAGTCACAATGGTGTGTCAGTTGACACCGACGACTCTGCGAGTGAATATGGTATCAGCGACTCTGAATCCAATAAGTCAGATGTCAATTAGTGTCATGTTTCATTGTTGATATTGATGTCACTGCCCAGGGTAAAGTCCTTGGTGATCAACCTTTCTGCGACGAGGCCATGATCGATACGCTACATCAGTCATTGTTCGACGGCGAGAACTCGATCGGAGTTCAATCACATGAAGATTTTGTGTCGGTCTTAGATGGCAATGATGAGCCGGAGCTCCCCATAGCTATGGTTGCCTTGATTGCAACTGTTGTACGTTTTTTATTTGTATTTTCTAGATGAATACTTACTAAATGTGACGGTTGTTGCAGATCTATGCCATACTGATGGACTGGAGGAGCGGCAATCCACCGTCGAGCTCTCAAGTCAAATCATTCAATGCTACTGTCTACATTAGCGTTTACAAAGCCCATGAAGCAACCCTCACTCGGATCTTTGAAGGCGGTAAAAAGAAGTATCATGCGCTGATGGCACGGCTTTACAAGGCTGTCTGGTGTGTTTCATCATCCTCTGATCGAATGCCTGCCATTAACATACTATGTTAGTGTGTCGGACAGTGTGTTGCTGCCATCTGGTGCGCTGAGCAACTTCGACTACCTCGATCTCAGTGCAATGTCCGAGGATTGAACTAAGGTTGTTGTGCCATGTGCACCCACGGATACCCATGTATTACTGATCTCACTTTGTACATTTTGATAGTTGTTCGTACATACTGACAGGCCATTCTGATCCAATATAATGTTGATTTTCGTGTATTTTGACAATGACCGACGAGTGAATTTGAACTAATTCATTAGTATTCAGAAGAAATCACTTGGAATTCGAACTAATTCGTTGAAACTATGACCGGACTTAAATAAAACAGTAAAACATGATTTCGCTGAAAATCAAAGGAAAACCAGGGATTTACTGGAAATTACCTCGATTTCGGGGGGAAGGCTTTCCCTGATGTACTGGAATCAAGTCTGGAGAGTGTCCGAAATGCGATGTCGATGCTGCTGAAACAGGTAGCAATACCGCACCATTTCATTTATGGAAACTGAGCGAGATACTAGATGCCCTTGCTACTCTCAATGAAGGGAATTTATCTTTCGTTTGCGCTTGCTCAGTAGCAGGCATCAAGCCCATTGTCCATCCTTTCTGGGAAGATCTCCTGTTTGCCAACATTTTCCGTGTGATCACACCAGACGTATTACACCAATTATATCAAGGCTTGGTTAAGCACCTCTTAGGATGGTTGTCGGCTGCTTGTGGAGCTGCCAAAATAGATGCTCGTTGTCGGCATCTTCCTCCCAACCATAATATCCATCTGTTCAGGAAGGGCATCACTAGCCTGTCATGTATAAGCGGTGCTGAACATGCACAAATCTGCCACTTTCTCCTTGGTATCGTGATTGGTATCCGATTGCCCAATAATCTAAACGCAGGTCGACTTCTACGAGCCGTGCGGGGTCTACTCAATTTCCTCTATCTTTCACAATATCCTTGTCATAGCTCAGAGACCCTGCAGCTGCTGGATGATGCACTCGATCTTTTTCATGACAATAAGGACATTTTCGTCGAGCTGGGTATCCGAAACAATTTCAATCTACCAAAACTGCATGCAACGCGCGACTACACTCTCATGATAATGATGTTGGGTACGATGGATAATTATAATACAGAGTACACCGAACGACTTCATATTGATTATGCAAAGGACGCTTACCGCGCTACAAATCATAAAGATGAATTTTTGCAGATGACACACTGGCTCGAATGAAAGGAGAAGGTTCTGCACTATGAGAAGTACATCAACTGGCGACTTGCTGGCAATCACAAGTCCGAGCCCTACCACTCACGTCCTCCTGATATGACTTTCCGTCGGCTTCAGACGATGACAAAGCACCCTAGTGCAAAGGCCATCAATATAGACAAGCTGATTGAAGACTACGGCGCTACTTATTTCCGTGAAGCACTTGCACGCTATATCACACAACTCAGCCACACTAATGGTCCATGCCTCTCTAGTCAAACACTGGATGTGTTGGCACACGACGTCCATCTCCCATTCCGAAGTCTTCCAGTTTTCCACAAGATCAAGTGGCTCTCGGTGGATACTCGTGATCACGGCAACACAACAGTCACATTGGACTCTGTGCATGCCAGACCACAGTGGAGCTCAGGTTCTTCTCCATTGGCTCGTCGGTCAGATACAGCTCTTGTGAGTCTCAGTTCGAATACTGATATTGTTAGCGCTGGTATACAAGGTATGTTTCACCACCACTATTTACATTACAAATTACTCACCATTGACTGAGTATAGGCTTCTGCGTTGGCCAAGTACGAGTCATTTTTTCATTACCACCAAAGTCACTTCCGCTCCTTTTGCTGCCAACAGCCCAGGTACCCAAACACTTAGCTTACATCGAGTGGTTTACACCATTCTCTTCAGCTCCTGATCAACGCCACAGACTTTATGAGCTCTCGCAATCGTTCCGTGGTGGTGAAAAATTGGCAAGTATTGTGCCATTGGCAAACATTGTGTGTAGTGTCCATCTGATACCAAGTTTTGGTGCTGTCGTCCCACGAGAATGGACGAGTGATATGGTTCTGGATGATTGTAACGATTTTTTGTTGAATTCATATTTAGATAGACACACTTTTTGTATATTCAAGTAATTTCTGACATTTTGTGATATTTGCATCCAACATTATCGTCTTCTAGCAATTTTATTCCTAATTCTTGTAATTAGACAGAATTGTCTGAATTAGAACTTTTAGCGAAAATTATAACTTTTTTTGCCCAGGACGGTTTCCCTGATGGGCCTACTGATAGTGAGAGGAAATCACAGATTCTACGCTAATCCTAGTGGTAAGAACATGGAGCATGGGGCCCTCGTCCTGGACGGGAGTCGAGAGAACGCCAGTGTCGATAGTCTGATGCAGGTTGAGCATCAGCCGAGAGATGAGAGTAACGGACAGGCTGGTTCATCTTTAGAATCGGTCCATGTTTATCGCACTGACCACTCACCAACCAGTAAATGTGGATAGACTGCCTCTGAGGTAAACCTTGCCAATCATCAGGAAACAGTCAAACTGAATATAAAGGGGTTTGTATGCTCACTGAACCAATCTGATTTAAACTGTGAGTGTTTGGTGATACCTTCAGTATTCATGCGGCGACTCACGTAGTACGTCAGGATGTTCAGTATATTGAACAGTGTTATCGCTCTGGAGTAATCCGGATCAGAATCACTCGAATCACGACATCACTAGCAACCTCACCCGAAAAACATAACACCTGCATTCGGTTAATTCAGTGTTCGCGATACAGATGCAGCGAAAAATTTACCATCGCAAAATATGATATCAATGATATTGTTCCTACTGACCAACGATAAACGCAGCAAGTTTTTGGCTTTGCAGATCCTGTGCACTGTCAGGACGAAGATGATTAAATCGAAGACAGATAAGGCCACATATGCTAGCCCGATTCCTGCAAAGGCCACAATATCAAGTCATGCAAATGTGGCTTGGAATTCACTAACGGGCAGCTCTGCAAGCACCTTTGAGCAGACGTATAGAACGGGAATGAGCACAACATACATCGATTTTGAAAATGTTTCATTGCAGCCAAGCCCTGGCACGACTTCGATATCGCCTGAAAATTGTCCAAAAGTGCCCGCCTAGAAACGATCAGCGGACTTCAGGGCGTGAGATTTTAAAAACGCACGCAAGCTATTCCCGTAAGAGCAATCGTGACGATTACCATCCAAGCAAGCAGGCGCTTGCTACAGCCGTAGAGAGCATAAGTGCGAATGACCATTATGTCTGAAATTTTCAGTATGTAACTTTCTCACAATGAAGCTGACTTCTACTTACTACAAACGATCGCTGTTTGGAGGAAAATGGCTAGTTGTCTATATAGCGCATATTTCGAACAACTAAGTCTTTGTTGAGCAAACAGTACACATTCAAGAACCAGAGTACAACAAACCTCTACAGAAATAAGTTGTGAGCATATCAAACGTTGAGTACATGCATAATGAAATTGTAGAACCTCATCTGAAACAGGTACAAAATCCTTAATCAAGCCACAGATATTGCTGAGGAGAGCGACATAGCGATTGAGCAGAAATAAAACTGCAGACAGTGCTTTCGGACGACGCCAAATAAAAGTGATTTCTTCTTGTAGGGTCACCATATGGTCGTATATCAGTATGCCTAGATTTAGAATAATGCGTCAGTCTTGAGAACAAGGATAAAACTAAAGTGTAGTACTGTTTCCCGCCAGGTCGGCGTACATGTAGAGCAACCTATAAATATTCAGGATACATGGTCAATCTATGCGTTATCACTCACGTGTGCTGCACTTCCTGATTGCTGGTATACATTGCGACAAAATTCAATTGAAGTCGGGAATGTAGGGCGATCCGTTATATATCACTGGTCGCATTTAACGACCTTTCCCGTAATCATCAATCAAGTGCTATGTATGCAAGCATGCAACTCAAACACTGCCCGGAAATACGCGAGTCCAAAGACTCGAAAATGAATTTCTAGACGTAATATAGTTGGTGTGCATAGATATTTTAAAGTTAGCATCACTTATCAACGTGTTACAGACTAGCCTTACGTGGGTGGGTGATCCATAGGCTGTGCCATTGCAATGGCGCGGTACTGACCCGTTCCTTACTAGAGCACAAGGATTATGGTTACCATGACGATCATCATGTTTGAATCGTCAACTTGAAAGTGAGTCATTGCGAGTTGAGCTCGATAGATGCTTTTGTATCCACCAGATCCGTCTCGGATGTATTGGCAGCAGGCTCCAGGTCAATAGACGAAAGTCATTTATAATATAAGAAAACAAGAGAGAGGATGTATTCAACGCACAAGTCACTTCCTTGGCATGCTAGGTAGAAGTGTCACTGATATACTAGTACTAGTAGTCAATGAAATGTCGCGTTGACTCGGAAGTCTGGAGTTCGCATGCTACCGACTTGATTCAGACTCCGACCGTAAAGCTGGGCCGGAGGAAGTGCAATATTGATGGTGTCATCGCTTCGCCGCAGCTACATGCATGCTGGCTATGATGGAGGCTGTTATAACGAGACAAGTTTTTAGTTTTTCCGGTCCTCAACGTCATGAGCTATTATTCCACCTCGAGCTGCTCCGTTCTCGCCTGTGTTCGTCACGTTCTACTGCAGCCGCTTGCTGTTATACTCAAGAGGCCGAACTGACCTGGCGTTTGGAATTCCAGTGACCCTAGGACTCGGAGATTCTCCATATTCAACACCATCCATCTCTGTGATTCGCTCGATACCGGTGGCGGGTCACGAATACATGACGTATGCCTCCATGGTTGGACGCGCCAATATATTTCAGTCCCGTGCAGTGAGATGCAGTGATACATACACCATTGGCCACCAAGCAATCGACTCCGGATACCATCTATCAAAGCTCGCACTTGAATATGTGCTGTAGACATACTTATAATCTACTTACATGACGATCAGATACCATGACCATTTCGCACCTTGTTCGATTCGGTCTCGGTAGTTGCCTTGTACCCTTCATCTTGCATACATGTTACAAGTCTGCGACATGAGCCAGAAAATTCTTGTCGATACGGCACATAGGTCACATCTTAGTATAAACAATCCTCGATGAGGTACACGATCAGCGCCGTCTGTGGATACACAGGAGACTATGATCTCGGAGTACTTCTAGTGTAACTCTCATGAGTCTCGTATATCACATTGTGCAAAAGGTGAAATAAATGACATGCTTGGCAATTCAAAAGCAAACCCATAAATAGGAGCACAACCTCGACAAGTCATGGGATGCTGCGGACTCACTGCATAGCACGAGGGGGAGGTGGTTCTACAGAACAAATAGTTCCTGCTCATCGTCGTAAACTACTATTGCTGGAGTTCTGTGAATGGGAGTCAGAATTATGAAAGGCAGATGTCAGGATGTGAACCTACCGTATTTCCTTCCCCTAAAATGCACAGGTTAAGCTAGTGATGCCATCAGGAAACCGATGACTTACCCCATCTTCCCAGCTGATCATAGCCTTCAACTCTGTCAACCCGAAAAGAAGAATGACTTTGATCTCCATCGTATAATACCTGGAACCTTCGGCGGAGCGCTTGAGCATTAGTTTCTCGGCAATTGTCGATGTGTCTGCGTGGACGGTGCATAACCTGGAGAATAAGCCTAGTTTATCCGGTATACATCAGTGTGATTGGCAACAATTTTTGCGACTACTTCGCTCTGTGTCCATCCAACCCGGGTTTCGCAGGAGACCCCTATACGATATGATGCAGACATGGACTTGATTGCATGCGGCCTGATTATACCGTGGGATAGCGAATGTCTTGCTGAACTCTTGTTGCTCAGAGACCAGTGTTCCCTGCTGCGCCTCAGCAACGGGCCTTCCAAAACAAGTCCAAAAAGAGCTACCTTGGTCAGTATGGATGAAAATGCACGAGGCAGAGCAAGAATTCCCGAAACACTTCGGAAAACTTCCTTTTGCCTAGCACGATGCTTCATATCGAATGGGTTAAATAGGACGGTACACTCTGTGCCGTATGTGAAACGGGCCACACGAGACGATACCAAATGATCGATGAAAAATGACACAGCACCATTCGCAACGACTTGGTTGCTAAAAGCGTCCGTAAGTATACGCGAATATGTTTGTCAATTGTTGGCACTCACCAATGGTTCTCTGGTCGACTGAAGCTAATATTAAGCGACTGGAAGTATGCGAGCAACTTGGCGAACATCCAGTCGCTTGCAGCAAAGCCTCCGACGAAAAACACAAACTTCATGTGACACTCCGGTCAGCGCATTTTCTGACGAAGTGCAGTCATGTCAACTTACTGTGATCGGAGTGCCTGCAGCTTTTCTTTGAGTTTCGAAAGCTTCGATGATGCTGCAGATCGAGGGTTCGAAGAGTTCTGCTACGTCTTGTCTTTTTAGTAGCAACGCGTAAGATATATAGAGGTTGCGAAAGAGTAGACTACAAGACTTGCCCGCTCAATTTAAGCTGACCGGCACGGATATCGCGCTGAACATCTTTGTCACGGAGAGTACCGAACTTGATGTATGACGGGTCTTCCGGGTTGCGGAACCTAACCTTGGTGGTACGATCGAAGATGTCTGTCATATGTTGGACCATATCTGATGTACCGAAACGACTGCCGGATAGTTTTTCTGTCAAGTGGAATCAATAAGAACATAGCATAGCTCATACGAGCATGCTGGCAAACCTTGAAGAAGATCATGAGCACGACGAGTCACGAATACAGAACCCTGGAGTCGACCTAAGGAGTGGAGTGAGACATAGCTCCAACAATCGCATGTCACTTACATTCGGTTGCAGCAATCTCCTTGATCAGCGTCGGGGATAAAGTCATCGAGTAAGCACTAAGATCGACTGTCCCTCCTCCTGCATCGATGACGACAACGCCTTGACTAGCCGAGATGTCGTCATCTTCGCCATCATCTTCAGGTACAAGTATTGGCGTCTTCGATAATGCATTTGAGGCCAGGGTATTAGCGACACAGTAATGCAAACTCGCTTCTCCTTCGGTCAGCAGATGTACACGTGCCATGCCGTCTTCTGTGCTGGGAATGAGACCGCCAAGGACGGCAGCTATCCTGATCTGCTTCTGCTGCGGGCCCTCCCAGCCGTTTGGATGCGTAAGGACAAATTCGATGCGGTTATCGAGTGACCGCCAAAGAGCAGATCCGTTTGAATGACTTTCCTCGATATAGCTGCGTGCACAACGAAAAAGGTATTGCATGAAGTCGCCAAGCACCTCGACAACATTTTTGCCTCGCGGAAGCGGTGGGATATCGTCGTCGGTGATATGGTTGGCAACTAAATGCCTGGGCCGAAGGTGCAATTTCCACCTAAATGTTTAGCGTGGTCAATCAAGTAAATACGAAGTCCAGTATTCACAAGACAAACCATTCGAGTTTTATCCATCCATCTTCCTCGGCCATTTCGATGATATGTTCCTGTTGTGCTTCAGCGCCGATGGCACGTGCAGTCCCGTTTGAATCGTAGTAGAGTATAGAAGGTATTTTCGAACTCCCTCCGCTGTGCTCTTGGGCCGGATATCTGATATTCGTAATGATCAACAATAAGGCAGGTGTTTTGTATTACGAAAACTGACCTGGTGACAGGCTGAATCCTTGGAACCCCTCCAGGTTGAAGTATACAGTAGGAAATTGAACTGTATGCGGTGCCCACGTCGAAAGCAAGGACTAATTTGTGGACTGGTCCCCGATAAGGCTGACGGAGAAGCATTTCTTGCGTAAGTGGATGGATGTCGTACGTTGCTCACATCGTCTTATACTTCATGGCAGAGGCCACATGGATACTTATCCGTTCATGACTTTCACCATCTCACCTACAACGTTTAACGGATGATATAGGGGTAGCAGGGCGTACTGTTCGTGTCAGCCTTGAGGTCTGGTGCGAGTGATTTGGGGTTGCTAAATCCTGATATAGGAAGTTCCTGAGTGTTCTAGATAGAAATAATGTCAAACTGTAGAATGAACAAACGATGGATGCCTCGAGGCCACCCCACAAGCGTAAGCAGATAGGTGCTTTGGTCACGATGCACAAACTACTTACGCCCCGTTCTGATAATGAATGTCGCATCTTCTGTATGGAATTCGTCAGTAAAAAATTCCACGAATTGATGGGCTCACTGCAGTGATTGATATCAGAGAATCGTATTTGGTCTCAGCTAATTGAACCTGGCGCTCCGGCCGCCGTGAAATGTCGCGTTGAAGACTTGAGCTTGAGCTTGAAGTCTGAAGTTCGGCTACCGACTTGATTCAGACTCCGACCGTAAAGGCTGGGCCTACTGCAGACTCCAAACCATCGGCAGGTGTGAGAGAGTCTTCATACTGTTACCTTAGCCGAAAACCAAATATGTACAACATAATTTCAAACACCGCAACTTTGAGACTCTACACACCAAGCCGACTGGCAAAACTTGTAGTGGCGCGAGGTTTGGATGTATTTGTCCCACCGAAAAAGCCTTCCGAGCGCGCTGACATATCCCAAAAGAAATGGGAGCAATCGAATATTATTGTCAAAAATCTTTAGCGTGACGTGCCTTTAGTGACATGATGGATAATCCCTTTCTGAGACTTAACATCTTCTAAGTCACGTATCTTGATGTCATCGCCAGCTGGCCGGTTCGAAGTACTGAGCTTTGCAGAAATGAAACGCATTGCAGAAATGAAACTGGGTCTTACTCCTTGTACTTGGCAACTCCAGTCCGCTCACAACCAGCTTGAGAACAAAGATGTCTTCACCATCTCACCCACCGGCTCAGGAAAGACTCTTACCTTCTGGATTCCCCTGTTATTCAACAATGGTGGAATAACCATTATTATTACCCCGCTTAATATCCTCAGCGAGAAGAACCGAGATGAAGCAAATGCTTATGGGTTTCCCGCCCTTGATATATGTGCAGAGACAGCAACAGACGAGGCGTTTAAAGTGAGTCGTTATTCAGTGACATGAATACTACACGAGTCTGAGCATATATTCATCAGGACATAGAGAAATTGAAGTATCGAGTTCTTGTTGTTAGCCCGGAACGTGTACTTCAAGACGCTCGATTCAAAAAACTTTGGAAGTGTCGAACGTTTACAGATAATCTCTTCAGTATCGCGTTTGACGAGGGTCATTGTATTAGCGAATGGGGCAAAGACTTTCGACCGCTGTATAGTGAGCTGGGGAATCTTCGATGGTACCTTCCAGCTCACGTTCGATTTCACGCCGTGTCTGCGACCATGCCGCCGCACATCCTCCTAGACGTCCAATCGAAACTTCGCATTCGGTCATACAACCTTGCTAAAGTTGTCCGGTCAAACGACCGTGCAAATATTCATTTCATGGTCCAGGAGATGAAGTACCCACGAAACACGTACTATGACCTTGGCCGAATCTTGCCACTCAAGGAGGGCACACCGCCCGAGAAGTTCATGCTGTTCGTAAATGCTCGAGATCAAGCAGAAGCAGTTTGCAATAGCTTATGCAAAGACTTGCCTGCGCATCTTCGCCATAACATCGTATGGTTCCATTCGGGCATGTCAATGCAGTTCCGGCTGGACGCAATGGAAAAGCTGTCAAAGGGTGAGATTTGGGGGATCTGCTGTACTGATGCAGCGGGAATGGTGAGTAACTCACAGTCATATCGAGAGTCCCTCACGTATATATTGATGTTGTTATTGCTGTTATTGCAGGGCCTTGATCTTCGAGACGTCAGATTGGTCATTCAATGGGGATATATAGACTCACTTTGCATTTTGATGCAACGCCTAGGACGCGCTGCGCGAGACCACGCCTTAACGGCACTTGCAGTGTACTTCGTGGAGCCGCTGTACTTTGATACATACAGTGGCAAGCGCAAACGGCCTGAACTTGATGAGGGACAGCATCGCACGAAGAAGAAGAAGGTCACGAACGTGGACGCTGAGAGCACAGTGGTGCGCGACGAGGAGAACAGTCAATGTAGGACTGATGGTGGTACCCTCAATGGGGGGGACAATGACGGGCGAACGGACGGCGTCAGCATGGTGGTAGATCAGCGCAACAGACACACCATTCCAGAGGTTGCTGGCACTTCTACTCCTATGAGGATCCTTCCGGTAAACGCTGATAGTGATGTTATCGAACGAGCTGCTATGTATGCATTTATCAATGCTCACCTTCGAGGATTCTGCCGTCGCCGAGTTACAAATGAATATTTCAATAATCCAAACCTAATAGGTAAGAATTTTGAGGCTGGATAGAGTTGATTTAGCTGACATTGAGGTTATCGAGAACAAGGGAATACATGCTGTGAGAGATGCGCTGCAAGGGTGTCACACATTTGCTGTGACGTGTGTAACAAGATGGAATTACATTCACGGCTCTTCCCTCTGCAACAAATCACGTCAACACGCGCCAAACCAAAGTACAAGATCAAGCCATACAAAATGACCGACACCGAACGCCGGCTTCAGCAGGAGCTCATCAAATGGAGGGACTCGAAGATAATCGAGGAGGATCTCGATGCTGATGACTTTTTTGGTCCCCAGATGATCATGTCGAACAAGATCCTGAACCATATTGTCGACCTCGCGCACTATCACAAAATCTTATCAACAACTTCTCTCTTCGAGCAGACATCATGGTGCTACTCCTCTGAATATGGGCAAAGCGTCCTCGATATCATTCTTACTTGCATCCCTTTGCCCATTGTCCAACCTCCCGCACCACCTGCTGTGATCATTCCACCTCCACTTGGCTTATCGTCGTCAACAAACCAACAACCGACCGCCAGCACCTCCGCCACAAATGGCGTCATGTTGCCATCGAAACGTTCACGAAAGTGTCGTGCTTGTGGTAGCACTGATCATATAGGTACGCACTGCTCACTATGTCCACTGTCTTATCGTACTCATTGTTCTTCGCAGCGTCCAACAAACTTTGTCCAAGATATATTTCCAAGCCCCGCAAGTCAAGATCTAATATAGAAAATGCACCGGCCATGGTGGCACCTGCTCCAGGCGCTTCTGAGCAAGGTTTCCATCCAGTGCAAGGACAACAACAGTTTGTTGGTCCGCAGAACAATCGAGTCGGTTAAGGTTAGTCAATAAAGTCATCTCCGTCGACATCGAAAACGCCCGTCTCTTCCTCGCTAACTATCTTCTGCTCTTGCATCAGCACCATCCCTTCGTTGATCTGATCGGGAATCGACCACAGGGCCTTCCGACCCTCCTTCTTTATATGTGCGTAGTTCTCCTTTATTTTCGTTGACAACTTACGGATTGTATTCATCATTTCAGGTTGTGCATGACGAATTGTTTGATGCTGAAGGTGGAATCTGTTTTTGATGACGACGTGACAGTTACGGTAGACCTCGATCAGAGGGGATTCTTTAATAATATGTTCTAATGTACCATTCGGACCTCCGCCTCTGTATATGACCTGATGCCATATTAACATTCCAACCCTAAGCAGCTAGGAACTAACCTTGGTGTACAGATTGTTCCTCTCGACAACCCAATCTACAGCGCGAAACGCTAGCGCATGCCCGGAGGGGTTGCAAAGTAAGTTCATTCGAATGATATCACTGACATATTTTCAGATGATGCGCAGTCAATACGAGCAACTCCTACTCACCTCAGTTTTTCAGGCCAGTTAAACTGAAGGTTTATGAGAAACCTCGTCATCTGGGAAGCATACTTGTACTTTCCCGTGGCTTTGAATATGTAGATCCACGGTAAGAACGACGCTTCCACTCTCCCTATGTCACCAGTATTCATAGCTTGACACACGTCAATGTACATCAGCTCGTCCCTGTTTCGCAGCGTTTGATTTTCGAATCGCTTGTCGCGGATGGTCGATGGTCGTGCTCGTGCTTCGTCAAGGCCTGGCGTTGTTGCAACGTACTTCCGCACAATGGTATGTGACATTGCCACCACGTCATCCCATGTTGGCTCAGAGGCCGCAAAAGTCTCCAGCGTGTTCCATTCCCGATTCTCGTTCTCTGCTTCGATCCGCCAACAGTCCATCATCGATGCCCAGATGTCATGGTGAATGACATCGTGCACTCGCCGAAAGCCAGGTTTACTGACCATTTTACCAGTTTCCTCTGGCCGAAGGACTGCAGTGTGTTGGTACAGGCTGTTCTCATCATCACGGCCCTCCTTTGGCTGAATATACGTTCTCCAGATGGCATCTGCGCAAGCCATCTTATAGTGGAACAACCCAGGTAAGAAAATCACGTATTGGAAGCGGTTCTTTGGTGTATGCTCAATGCACCGGCTGTTACGGACAGTATCCAGTCGCTCCTTCGTCAAAAGGTCACCATGGATCAGCATGATGTGCTCCGACATGTCCACGTCATGCTCCACATCAAACCCGCTATCGCGAGGATCGCCAATACCTCCTTGTCTAAACAGGTTGTCGAGAACTTCAACATTCCCGTCTGTCGTGGACTGCTTGATATCCATTGCCCGACAAGGTATTTGATTTGTTTTGTGCACAGGGATTCTTTTGACTGTATCAGGCTCATCTAGCTCTTTTTTGAAATGCTTGAATTCTTTGACCTGGTTGACCAGAATGGCACGAACGTGCCAAGAAAATGCTTCCTGGCGAGGGCTCAGTCTAACGGGATGCGTTTGACGACTGTAAGCATCGTTTTTGTGCAATTGAAGGAAGCTTCTCCACTCCGTCATCACAGGTAGTACTGATGGCGATGGATTGTGTGAATCCCGATCCCAGAGCTGCGCCGAGGATCGTAGAGCATCGACGTTATCGTCGTTGATGCCATATAGAGGAATGACGGTTGCTGACGTCGCGCTCACGAAGGACCCTCGATGTTCCAGCGTAGGCTGGGCAGCTTTGAATTGTATGTCAAAATTGTCGTATGCGAATCCAGCTTGTAATGTCCTAACCTCACGCTTGATTTTGCTGCTAATCTCTCTAGATATTGACGAGACAGCATTGTGTATCGACGTCAAGCTAATTGACAAACCCGCATGGGCGAACACTTCAACAACTTTCTCGGGGACACACGCTGACCTCATGAAGAACCCCAGCCATCCTTGTAGTAGGTTGCACTGTGAATTTGACGTCTGAAGGCATATGCTAATCATTACAACAGTTCTCTGCAGTTTTTGTCAGCGATGCAGCGTTTGATTTGCAAATATCAACTCACAATGACTAACAGCGCAGCGTTTCTTTCAGCTGCACGACGTTGGCGTTTTCCTGATTGCTCGTCATCAGCTTCTTCATTCACGTCGTCTTCTTCGCGCATCATTCCTCCAATGTCGTCACCTCCAAATTCTCCAAGGTCCCTCTCTTCAACATAAATATCCATGTCCTCATTGCCCACCTTCACATTCCCACCCATAGCTCGCCACTGCTGAAGTGTGCTGTCGAGCAGCGCGAAGAATAGATGCCACAGGTTAGGTGCCACCTCCTGCATTTTTTCTGCGAGCTGATGCATGAATGCACTCTCCAGTTGTTCGACAGTTGCAGACGTGGCTTTGAAACGAAGTCCGTGCTTTTCGAGTGACAAATCTGTCACCTCAGTGCGCAGCATGTCCCGCACGATTGTTATTGCCCACTGTGTTACATGTGAGTGCGCATGTTCTTCTCTGTACAGGGCAGCACATATTCTAACTGCCTTCGTTGTTAGCGAGTTTCTTGCGCTCTCGTGTTCTGTGCTTCCGAGAATGTGGTTGATGAAGTCTGCTGGAGTGAGAAAATTTTCTTCCATACATGCAAGCACGTTGTCCAGTCGGTCTGCGAGACTTGTATCCATCACGAGCGCAACAGCACGAAAGCTAGGACTCTGTCTTTTGTTTTATGCATTTTCTGCCATTGTTCTCTGCACTGTTAATATTTAATTATTATTATTTCCGTCACATAATTAAACAATACCATTTGTCTTTTTATAAACAATGTGACATCAGTTAATATTCGATTGCTCCCATTTCTTTTGGGATATGTCAGCGCGCTCGGAAGGCTTTTTCGGTGGGACAAATACATCCAAACCTCGCGCCACTACAAGTTTTGCCAGTCGGCTTGGTGTGTAGAGTCTCAAAGTTGCGGTGTTTGAAATTATGTTGTACATATTTGGTTTTCGGCTAAGGTAACAGTATGAAGACTCTCTCACACCTGCCGATGGTTTGGAGTCTGGGCCTACTGTCGCTTGGTGTGCTACACATCCTTCCTGCGTACTTGGTACCTCGGTCTTCCTTCCTTTGTCGTATCATCTCAAAGTTATTTGAAGATTCGCTGACCGCAGCGACATGCATGCTGGCCATGCATATGGAGGCTGTGATAACTAAACGTGGTGAGTCAAGTTTTTCCGGTCCTCGACGTCATGAGCTATTCATACACCTCGGCGCTCAGCTGCTCCGTTCTCGCCCGTGTTCGTCATGTTCTACTTACTGCAGCCGCTCAATTGCTGTCAATATCCTGTCCGTTTATTATTCAAGCAGCCGAACTGACCTGGCCACGTTTCGAATTCCAGTGACCCTAGGACTCGGAGGTTCTCCATATTCAACACCATCCATCTCTGTGATTCGCTCGACACCGGTGCCGGGTCATGAATGCATGACATATGCCTCCGTGGTTGAACGCGACAATATATTTCAGTTCAGTGCAGTGAGATGCAGTGATCCAGGACCACATGTCAACACCAAATATTGGAATATTGGCCACCAAGCAATCGACTGTACCAAAGCTCGCACTTGAACATGGTGCTATAGACATACCTATAATCTACTCACATGACGATCAGATACCATGACCATTCTGCACCTTGTTCGATTCGGTCCTGGTAGTTGTCTTGTACCCCTCATCCAATGATAGCTGTACTGCATTGATGCTGAGTCTTGTGCCAGCTATAAAGAATTCTTGTCATGTACGAATTTGCAAGGTGAAAAAACAAGACTGTAATAATTGGACGGCGGCGAACAACAATGGAAGGTGAACAACAGAAGTAGCAATTGCATTTTGGAAGGAAGATGGCACGGGCACGTTTGGTCGCAATTCAATTGTCCTCTCAAGAACGGCGCACAATTGTGCAAGGCTTGCTTAGTAGACCTGTTTCACTTTCAAGTTTCAACACAGCAACTCATTGAAACAGCCGAGACTCACCAAGACCTGAAATGGCCCACGGGTGTGTCCAGTGGCAAATCAACTAAAAGACGCCCAAGAACAATATTTACATGTGGCGGCAGTGCTACAACACCGCAACCCACAGCTATGCGATAACAATATCTAGCGCCATCTTCCACAATGGACACCCTCTCGCGCCACAAGTCTTTCCTCTTAGCGAGTGCCGTGCTGTTGCTCGTTTCCGTTTTCACTCCTCAAACGAACCATACGAGGGAAAACATTGTTCCTGTGGAATCGCATATAAAACCAGAGGGAATGGTGCGTTATTTCCATAATTCACAGGACTTGTCGTACCTTTATCACACCTAGCTACATCACCAACTGATCTAGAAGCTTATCGTCTCCATTAGTTACCTACTACGACCTCCCACTCCATGGATACTCCTTGCGGAACATCGAGCGCCGATACCGAGGTACACGCCGGCACGCTTCCGCACGACACAAAGCTCGACCCCAAGTACGTTTCAAACCTAACATTCCTGCCATTCTCGCTCAAAACATCCTCAGTTGCATATTCTGCAAGATCGTCACCGGGGAAGCACCGAGTTTCAAAGTATACGAAACGAAATATAGGTACGCTACCCCATCACCCAATCACCGTTCAATCACCAATGACGACGCTTTAAAAGTCTCGCCTTTCTCGCGAAGCCTCCTGTTTCTCATGGGCACACGCTCATCATACCCAAATGTGCGTACCCCGTTCGATCTAGCCAAATCTGCGTTAAATTTCGGTCACGTCAGACCACTCCCGTACATTAACGGACCCCGGACTCCCAGATGAGTTCCTCGCAGATGTCGGTCCCATAATGAAGAAGATAGCAGTGATGAATGGCGAGGATTCATACAACGTCATCCAGGTACGTCCCTCCCCTCCAGTTTTCTCCGTTTGCGCGCTATGTTCACACGGCAATCAGAACAACGGCAGGACTGCCGGGCAAAGCGTCGACCATGTCCATTTCCACGTCGTGACGAAGCCAGTGAACCAACCTAATCAGGGTCTCGTCCTGACACCCCAGAGTTGGCCTTCATACCCTACGACCGATGAAGAATACGCTCAGGACGCTGATAAGATGAAGCAGATCGGTAGGAGCCATGGATTCCCGGGCGTTTCGGCTTAGAATCTGGGGTTTGAAGGATGTATCGTGGCTAGTGCTCGACGGGATGGAGATGTGCAGAAGTAATTTGTTGAGGTTGTTATTGGGTTTATTGTCGTGCGAGGGGTATCATGGTGATCCGGTATGATCTTTCCTTGGCTGTCTGCAATATCCGTCGTAGTAGACAATAAATCCAGGCAGCCATGTATTCTTATTTTGCATCCCGAATCAGTCTCTTTCTTTCTTGTGGTATAGGATACCTGGAAGACATGGACTACATAAATATTGTGCAGTACGGTTTTGCCTTCATGGCTATTGTATATAGATGATGAATCAAAGAGGCCAGTGCACTTGTATGCGAACCTGAATATCCAGTAGAATGCGAACAGTCAACAACTCAAACTTCTGTCGCTTTCAGACATCCCCATACCACCAATATGATACTGCTCGCCAACCCAACCATTAAACAATCGAGTCGAGTGATAATTTCGAAGGCGGTGGAAACGCCAACGCAAAATGTCCTGAAACAAGGCATGATAACCTCTAGAATGCAAAGGAGATGAGAGACTCACAGGTATTGCGAACTTTCCAACGTTTCCATGGCGAGCTTCCGTGGCAAGCCATAATCGTCTTCTGACTCTTTGTGCACTACCGTCAAACTATCACGCCTGAGCATGAACCTGTCGAGTCATGGGCACGGGGTGATTTGAGGCAGAGGAGAACTCGTATGCAGTGTATTTGAAGATCTGATCTGATAATAAGGTTATCGCAATCAAAGGGTATGATTAGAGAGCATACTGATGACAGCAAGTACATCACCTTGAGAATTCAATCAAGCATTCGGGTCCGGTGAAGGAAGGCATCATGCACTACGGACATCAAATAACACAATTGGTACGCAGTCGGGACAACATCATGGAGGAAAACCAGTGATATTCCACTCAACACGATCTGCAGGCATCCAATCAGTCATGGGAAGTGTGCATCGTACGTACTTGTGATAATCGAGATCTGCTATTGCATCTGCAGACCATTTAGGATTGCGGTGTTCTCCTCTGACGTAAGGCTCTTCCTCTGCGGGCTTAACTCGCCATATCCTAACATGTCCATCGCGACCTCCAGCTATAATGATAGCCCACCCGAAGGCGCCTATGCTACCGACGTGATCACAAATGATGTTAGAGCATCTCCATCGCTTGCCGGTGATGGCCCTGCCTCAGCGGGCAACCTCGTCGGGTCTAAAGTGAGGAGAGTCGTAGGCTGATGAGAGGCAGATAATTGTATTCAGAGTGAGCGATACCACAAAAATACAGCGTGGCAATACTTTGATGGCGCCAGATATCCCACAGCCAGCCACGATGATTTCCCCTAAATATCTATCAGCACCACCCTCCATCTGCTTCTCGATTCCCTATTCCTGGCCATCCCTGGGTGGTGGGGTTTTGCGATTGTTGCAGGGATCGAGCGACCAGGGTTAGAGAAGCGCCCCAAGAGTTGCACTTGTTTGTGTTTGTGCCGCCAACGCCAGGGAGTACGACGCGATTATCGGAAGAGACAGTTGCCTTGCAGAAGCTCTGATAAATCGTCAATTGGGACGAACGACTTGACGTACCAACTTCAACCCAAAATGATGAGGGGTGAATTCGACTACGCGGACAGCGCTCCTTGCATCAACCAATATAGCCCTTTCCACCCATCTTGAAGAACCACATGAAGTAGCCTAAGGGGACCCGGCACCAGCACCATTCGTTTTGGAATCAGCTGTTGATGCAAAGCTAGTTTGCTCCCAAACCTTGACCGTAAGGTGAGCCCAGCTTCATTGGGAGGTAGTAGTACTATCGGTTACCACAACTTCGGTCACCCTCTGGTTCGGACACTTTGCAATATCTCACTTAACCCTGTTTCAAATCATATTCTGTCCAACCACATATCATTGTACACCTGCGAACTTGAATAATTGAAATTGGTCGAGAAATGATTGAGATCTTTGTTCAGGTGTGACAGAGCCAAATATCACGTCTGCTTGTCACCAAACCGAGTCTGCCGTAGCGGAGTTTTAGATTTGCCGAACCACTCGCTATTAGTAGATTTGTGCTCATAGGGTCTTGGACGGTGCATGGGGCGCGCTCGGGGCAAGGGTGCCCATACCATAACTCCAAGCAAAACGATCCAGCGCGAGTCGCGGATTCAAGGAGCCTTGCTGGAGTTCAAGGAACTCCTTTGCAGCACCTTTTGCACCACATTGTCCCAGTCATCTAAATAGTTCCTACAGCCCCTCATGAATTTGTACCAGTTCATAATGTACATTCAATAATACCTTTTCAATTATTTAACTTTTAGTTAAAATAATGAACGCTACGAGGCCTGTGCACTTGAAGGCGCTGATACTGGATGCCGAGCGGAATCTGTTTCGGCGGATGTGACATTGTGTTACTATCGTGTTACATTGTGTGACTGTCCGAACCAGAGGGTGCCCAGCGCTAATTGGTTGATAAGCACAAACACGCGTCTTCCAACATGCTCGCATTCCAGTCGTATTCGACGTTCCAATTTTCATTACTCGCTAAACTGATTATTCGACATCAGCGTAATAGGATTTGTAGAAATACGTGTATGGTAGCAAGGGAATAACGTACTTCTGATCGAGACTGCAAGTAGCCA